ATTATCAAGACAGTTTATCCAAGTGAGTTTTATCAAAGTGTTTTATCAAAGAACATCAATACAAATACAACAAGTGTTTCATTACATGAATGCAGTCCACATCCAACCAAGAAGTTATTCCACAAAGTTTCATTGATCACCTGATCGAATCTATGCCTCGAAGATACAATGCTGTAATCGACAACAAAGGATTAGCCACAAAATATTGATAGCGAAATACAGTTTAGTCAACATTTTGTGGAGTTGCACTTGATTTGTCTAAAAGGAAATCAACCTTTTTTTAATACTTTTGATTAATTTATTAATTTTCGTGTACAAATAATGAACTTTGTGAGAATAAAACTTGAAGAGCGTTGTCTGTTAACAGTTACATAGTTATTTCTCTAAATTGAAAAAATGCAGCACTTTTATATAAAGAAAGTAAATTAGCATTATTTGGTTGCACTTGTTTTGTCCGATAGTGTATATATATATATATATATATATATATATATATATATATATATATATATATATATATATATATATATATATATATATATATATGTATATATATATATATATATATATATATATATATATATGTATATATATATATATATATATATATATTAGAGTGCCAATTAAAACAACTTTTTTTAAAATTGTCTGTTGCCACCCCCTAAATGTGTTTTATGTAATAAATTCACACTAAATTAAAAAGAAATTTGAATAAAAAAATATTTTAGGGATCACTCAACACCCTTAAACATCAAACGGGTCCCTAATATTTTGAAAAAAAAAGTTTTTCAAAAGTTTATCATGTTGGGTCTCAAAAGAAGTGATATTTTATGAAAATTTCAAAATTAATAAACACTTTATTGAAACACAAATTAAAAAAGTTTATTTAAAATAAAACTTTGAAAATATCTACTTTTAATTTTTTGTCAAAAAATTATAGTTTTTAGGCCATAAATTTAAACTAGTAATATTTATATAAAATGATTAAGGATCTTGAGCAACCCCTAAAATTTTTTTTTAATTTAGTGTTAATTTATTACATAAAACACATTTAGGGGGTGGCAGCAGACAATTTCAAAAAAAGTTGTTTTAATTGGCACTCATATATATATATATATATATATATATATATATATATATATATATATATATATATATATATATATATATATATATATATACACACACACACACAGTAGAATCCCGTTAACTCGGACTCTGAACGGGTTTATATATTTTGTTTGACTTAGCGAATGACCGTGTTAAGCGAAGCTTTTGGTATATATAGAGAATTCAAGGGGAATTGAAAATTTGTCCAACTTATTAGCGTGGAAAATAACAAGCGGTCAACGGTCTATAACCGCTTGAAATGACTGAAATTGCTGTTTTGACTTCCCAAAAAGAATTCTAGCCGGTCAAGGTTGACCGGTTGAAAAAATCAGAGTTAGAAAAATCAGAAAAATCTTTTGTTAAACCCAATTTAAAATTTTTCAAATTTCATAACACCGTAAAACTTTGATAAAGCGTCTAAAACAATTTTATTGCTTATCTGCTACTTTTAAAGTAGAAATAATTAATAAAATTGCTTTTATTCACTTCGTTGGAACGAAGCGAATTAAAATTCGCATTGCTGCAATGTGAAATTTGTCATCGTTTATAATACTCGCTAATGCTTCGACGAGTATTATATATGGTGTAAACTATATATATTAATTTTTTTGCTTCAGTTATTGAGATCAATTTTATTTAGTGTTTTTTCCTTAACTAATTTAAGTTCTTATTTTATTATTATTTTAATAATAATATAATATACAATAATTGATGATTTTAGCTAAGCACTAAATTTAATTTCCTCTCTTTATATCTTGTTATTTATTTTTCTCAATATTTTTTGTTGCAAAATGCATTATTTACATGTTATGAAGAATAATTACTGAAATAAAAATTTTAACAAAAAAAAAAAAAAAATTTGACTGCCCAAAAAAAAATTTGACCGTCAGTTTTATGTATTAGCCAGTCAATTTGACCGCTCGCCTTTGATTTCTTATTTTCCACGCTGATATATATATATATATCAGGCCTTGCGATGAATAAGAACTGCGCGACGCATAAGCACGTTGTGATTTTTGACGTCATTAAATTCTTTTTATTTGCTTTTTATATTTATCGACATTAACTGCACCAATTTATTTAATTACCGCAAAACTACTTTGAATCGTTTATGTAGAAATGTTATTATTTAAAAATGTTTTGGAATGTTTCGTTTTTTAAAATGTAAAAACATTTGTTTATTTTCTCGACGTTTGTCACGTTTTGTCTATACTAAACGAATAAAAAACATTGTAACTTAAATTTAAAAAAGATTATAAAATATGCTAATATTTGATTTTTTTTTTCTTAAATATGTAATTTAAAGTTTTTCAAATAATTATTTTTTCTTTTTAAAAAGTCAGCGAGTAATAAACTGGAAATTTTAATATTGTACGATTAAAAACTGTGCAATAGCTAATATTTTTACAAGCGATTTTATATAATATTTATTTATTTATTTTTATTTATTTTCATAAAGCGGTTGATAAGCAAAATCACTCGTATTAATAAAAAACTTAAACGAACGTTTTGAATAGATTTTTAATGTTAACAAGGAATTTTATTTCTAGTAAAATAAAATAAAATGTTAGAATAAAAATCTTATAGGTATAAAAGAAATATTTTAGCGAAAAAATTATTCTTAAAAATTATTCTTAAAAATTATTCGAAAAACTATTGACGTTCTATTTTTCAGCAGCTGTTCTTGAGCACGCTTCAATGAGTTTCGGTAACTTTTAACATAAAAGCAATCGTTATTATTTAAGTAATTTTTTTGAGTTACTTTTTACAAAAATTTTAATAACTGTACTTTTTTATTGAATCAAGTAGAATACGTTTTAATATTAATCTTTTTTTTTTTTTTTATTTGCCCTCGCCAATTTTTAAAATGTTTCCTCGAAATCACTCTTAAATACTTTAAATACGTCTAACAGTTAATAAATATTTTTAAATCTATGGAATAATTTTAAAACCTATCAAACCCCTGTAAAATAATTATTTAAGTTTAAAATCTAAAACTAAAAGAAAGTATTTTTGTTCAATTTTATCGACAACGTTGCTATTGCTGAATAATTTTATTAAAATGTTAGCTTAAAAGATTTAAACTTTTTTTTTAATTTTTGAATTTTTTCTACTTGTAAATAATGAGCATATTTAATTTTTTTAAATTCAAACTTTTATTTCAACTGCGTGCGGTTTTTAAAATACTTTATTAAAAGTTAAAATAATCGTAAATTACTTCATTAAAATTCCGCTCAAAAATATCTTTAAATATACTCAAACAAAAAATTTTTTGCTCGATGCAAATAGCCCTAGCTACACGCAAAATCGCCCTTGGACGACGTAAAATTCACATCGCCCGACGCTTTATAGCAAGGCCTGATATATATATATATCAGGCCTTGCGATAAAGCGTCAGGCGATGTGAATTTTACGTCGTCCAAGAGCGATTTTGCGTGTAGCTAGGGCTATTTGCGTCGAGCAAAAAATTTTTTGTTTGAGTATATTTAAAGATATTTTTGAGCAGAACTTTAATGAAGTAATTTACGATTATTTTAACATTTAATAAAGTATTTTAAAAACCGCACGCAGTTGATATAAAAGTTTGAATTAAAAAAAATTAAATATGCTCATTATTTACAAGTAGAAAAAAATCAGATTAAAAAAAAAGTTTAAATCTTTTAAGCTAACATTTTAATAAAATTATTCAGCAATAGCAAAGTTGTAGATAAAATTGAACAAAAATGCTTTCTTTTAGTTTTAGATTTTAAACTTAAATAATTATTTTACGGGGGTTTGTTAGGTTTTAAAATTATTCCATAGATCTAAAAATATTTATTAACTATTAGACGTATTTAAAGTATTTAAGAGTAATTTCGAGGAAACATTTTAAAAATTGGTGAGCGCAAATAAAAAAAATAAAAGGATTAATATTAAAACGTATTCTACTTGATTCAATAAAAAAGTACAGTTATTAAAATTACTTAAATAATAACGATTGCTTTTATGTTAAAAGTTACCAAAACTCAACGAAGCGTGCTCAAGAACAGCTGCTGAAAAATAGAACGTCAATAGTTTTTCGAATAATTTTTAAGAATAATTTTTTCGCTGAAATATTTCTTTTATACCTATAAGATTTTTATTCTAACATTTTATTTTATTTTACTAGAAATAAAATTCCTTGTTAACATTAAAAATCTATTCAAAACGTTCGTTTAAGTTTTTTATTAATACGAGTGATTGTGGTTATCAACCGCTTTATGAAAATAAATAAAAATAAATAAGTATTATATAAAATCGCTGGTAAAAATATTAGCTATTGCACAGTTTTTAATCGTACAATATTAAAATTTCCAGTTTATTACTCGCTGACTTTTTAAAAAAAAAGAATAATTATTTGAAAAACTTTAAATTACATATTTGAGAAAAAAAAATCAAATATTAGCATATTTTATAATCTTTTTTAAATTTTAGTTATAATCTTTTTTATTCGTTTAGTATAGACAAAACGTGTCAAACGTCGAGAAAATAAGCAAATGTTTTTACATTTTAAAATACGAAACATTCCAAAACATTTTTAAATAATAAAATTTCTACATTAATGATTTAAAGTAGTTTTGCGGTAATTAAATAAATTGGTGCAGTTAATGTCGAAAAATATGAAAAGCAAATTTAATGACGAAAAGAATTTAATGACGTCAAAAATCATGTCGTGCTTATGCGTCGCGCAGTTTTTATTCATCACAATGATATATGTATATTTATTTATATGTATGTATGTATGTATTAGATTGATTTTTTTAAAACTATTTGTAAATGTTAATAAACTGTTAATAACAAATAATAATAAAATGCTAGTAATTGTGAAATCATATTTCTTTTTTATGTATTTTGACTATATTTTTTCTTAGGAAAATAAGAGTGACTCAGATAGTGGCGATGATCAGTTTGTTATTGATGAGAGATCATGTAGTGAAATCAAGAAAGAAGATGATGAACAAAATCGATTAAATACTCCTGCTGATTTTGAAATAAAGCAAGATGATACTAAGGAGTTCAAAAATGATATTGAAAAATTAAAGATAGAAGAAGCAGAGAAATCTTCTTTGCTATCTATAAAACAAGAGGAAGTTGTAGATTATCAAGCGTTATTTGAAAGCAGAGATGAGCATATGAATGGTTTAAGAATAAAAGAAGATCAATTTAATAATGAAAATGCATCATTTGCAGGTGTTTTAAATGAACCTGAGTCAAAAACTTTCTGTGATGATCAGGTAAACCGCAGATTTAGCAGTGGTCCAACACATAATCTATTACAATTAAATAAAACAAACAAAGAGGGAAAAACATCACCATATTTAAGTCAGCACTCAACAGTTCATGCAAGTCAGTTTAGTAATTTTAATAAAATGTTTACTCATAACGAACATTTTAGCCAGTTTAGTCCTACAATTACTAATATAGTCTCTAAACCAGTTTTTGAAAATGATGTTGATGCTTCTGATAAAATTAATGTTTTAGAATCAATGAGATATACAGCTCCTACCAAATTACCTGTTGTTAATCAAATACACAATGAAACCACTTTTTCTCCATCTTTGGAAAGAGATGTATCATTTGTTATGACTGCATCTAATTTGGATGTAGTTGGTACATCTGACAATGAACAAACTCCCCCACCTGAAAGTATTTTGATAAATTGTCATAAAATTTACCACTTAGATGAACGTAATGTACCATTGCATACACCAAATTTATGTTTTTCAGGAGAAATGTACAAGAACAATTTGTTTCAAGAAGATAAAAAAGTTTTTGAAAAGTCTCTACTTTTTAAAGAATTAGCAGAAAATGTTAGTTTTTATCTTGTTCTTTTTAAATAAATTTTTATAAATAAAAGTTTTTTATCTCAATAATCGCTTACTTACCTTATTTTTTAATCTCAATAATTATTTATTTTATAGTCATCGTCTTCAACCAATACTGTCTCAAATACTCAAACTTCCCCTCAGCAACATAGTGCTTTTAAAATTACTGATGTTTCTCAACTACCTAATAAAGACATGCAAGATTTTTCTTTTGAGTCAAAAAACATTCCACCAAACTTGCTTAATCTTCTCAAGCAGGATTGTGACAGTAAGTTTGACTGCAGTTCTTCTGATGTTATTGATAATAAAAAGAATTTTTCAGAGCAAAATTTGGTTATTCAGTCTAGTGGAAAAAAAGAGGTTTCTTTTGGGGATTTTACATCTAATGTAGTTACAACTGCTGCAGGTGCTCTTCCACATGTTGAACGAAATGTAGATTTTCCTGAAAAACAAACACTAACAAATACTTCTTTTAGCGTTCATGATATAAGAAAGCAGCGAGTTTGTGATGAAGAAGTTGGTTATACATGGTCTACTGGTTTACTTGAATCACCTAAAGATCATCAATATTTTGAAATGATTAAACATCCTCCTTTGTCAAGTTCTTTTCACATGCAGGTACCTGCAGCTAATAACTTATCTGATGATAAAAAACGTAGTATTAATCCTGTTCCTATTGCGCCTATCCCTATCGCAATTCAGCATCTTCAAGATTCAATTGGTTCATCCCTAGAAGCAGGTTAAATGTTATGTGTATTTTAATAATTTAGTTTAAAAATATATAATAATTTTCATTATTATATAGGAGGTATATTTTATTATTTCTTTTTTTTTAAAAATGGTTTTTTGGTCTTCTGGTCTACTGGCTTTTCAAAAATAAAATTCTTTAGAATATATCAGTATTGTCTAAAACTAAAATATTTTTAAATAACAGTTGCAAAATCAGTCTTCTCTGTTTGATATTTAATGGCAGCGCACAAAAAAGCGCTAACAGGATGTTCGTTTTTATGTTTGCCTGTGCGATTTAAAAAATTTAATTTTTATGCTATTTAAATGAAAATAAAAATATCGAAAAGAGTGCTTTGAATAAATACCAGAAAAAATAGTTTAAAAAATAAACTGGTAAAAAAGCCATTTTTGATAAAAGTTGAACAAACGAACAAAAAAAGTTTTGTTGCAATTTAAAACAAATCATTTTTATATTTTTTAACATTTACTTTTCTATGTGCTTGCCAAAGTTTTTGCGGGCATGTGGGTGAGCGCAAAAAACCAGCACAAAAGCTGGGTAAACGGAAAAGACTGCAAAATGATTCTTGGTTTCTAATCAATTTAGTTTAAAAAAATGGTCTTCATATAAAATAGTTAGAAACAAAATTCTTTTCTTTTTTTTCAAATTAGAGACATAACTTAAGATCAACTTGTATTAGTGCATATGCTAAGGTTTTGAAGACTAAAGAAAAAAAAAATTGTACACAGCACTTTGAAAAAAAATATTTGTACACAGAACTAAGTAAGCCATTTTTATTAGTGATGGATTGGTAAAGTTAAAATAAGTTGTGCAAAAAGAATTGTGCAAGAAAAGTTGCATTTGTCTGCAGTTAACTAACCAAAAGATAAGTTCAGCAATGAAAAAGAAGTTCACCTAGAATCTAGTGATATATTTTTCATCACAGTACTAAATGTTGCAATATTAGTGTTGTTTTGACTTGCTAAATTTAAAAAATGAATTATAAAATTATTTGTATTTAAATCATCCAATTTTTTAATTATTTTTTTTATTTGTTAATTTAATCTATTTAAATTTAAAACCATTAATACAACATTTACATTAGTATAAATATATTAATCATATAGTGCATTATATATTAATAAGTTACAAATAATATTCCATTTTTATATTTAATTGTATGATTTTTATCCAACTAAGTAATTTTTTTGTTTTGTATTTTAATCTATTTTGTTGCCAACTCTTGGAATTAGAAAAAATGAGGTCGGCATCAGGTCGGCAAAAATTATTTGATACAAAGGTCTGACCATAAAATATAGGAACAAGGCAATTTATTATACCTCAAACTCTTTCAGGTTGGCATTACCGAATGCCGATCTTAATGCCGAGGGTTGTGTTGCTAAATATATAATAAAGAATCTTTATTTTATATATATATATATATATATATATATATATATATATATATATATATATATATATATATATATATAGTATATATTTTATATATATATATATATATATATATATATATATATATATATATATATATATATATATATAATATAGAGTCATATTCAGAGTTTTTTTTTTCTTTCAAAAAATACCAAATCCATTGTTATAATCAAATTTATAAATAAAAAAATATGTTGACACAGAAAAGATGAAGTTTATAAAGCAAGATAACAATTATCAGATGACTTAAAAGTTTGCAAGTTATATGAATCAGGAAAACAAAAAGGGAGCGAATTCCAAAGAACTGATGTTTGAGATAAAAACTAGACATTAAAATTTTTGGAACGCGTACGAACAGTCACAGTAAAAGGATGAAACTTAATTGAATGAGGAGTAAAGGAGAGTGAATTTTAGTAGATGGTACAAGAGATGCTAGCTCTTTAGAGCAACTTCCATTATAGTATTTATAGAAAAGAGAATACCACATTGTGGTAATTTTGCTTCAGAAAGTAATGCAACATTACTACGATGTGACAATTATTGGAGGTTGGTTGCGAGAGGAGGTCCAACTATGTTTACAATGCGTTTTTACATCTTGTCTGAATTCCATACAAGTAACAAGCGCAATAAAGAGATGCAGCCTTAGCTGATGCTAATTTTGCAATGGGTTTAATATATGGTTTTCAAGAAAGATCAAAAGTTAGGGTTAATCCTAGAAGATGAAGGGTAGATGACTCATCGAGTATATTATCCTTCATAAATATAGGAAGATCTTTACTTAAATTAATTATTTTTTTAATATTATAAGTTTAAGTTTATATATATATATTTTTTTATTTTTATTTTTTTTAACATCTTCACTTCCAACAAGGCTGCAAGCAACCACTATAAGAGTTGGAAGTTACTGGAAGAGAAAAGACTAAATCTGTAGAGCAAGATAACGATTGACTGATGACTTAAAAGATTGCAAATTATATGAATCAGGAAAGCAAGATGAAGGAAGCGAATTCCAAAGAACTGATGTTCGAGGAAAAAAACTAGAAGAATAAGAGTTTTTGAAGCACTTAGGAACAGTCACAGAAAAAGGATGAGACTTAATTGAATGGCGAGTAACACGAGAATGAATTTTAGTAGATGGCACAAGGGACGCTAGCTCTTTAGAGCAGTGCCTATTATAGTATTTGTAGAAAAGAGAAAGAGAAGCAACATTACGACGATGTGACAAAGGTTGGAGATTGGCTGCCAGAGCAGGTCCAACTATGTTAACAATTCGTTTTTGCACCTTGTCTAAAAGAGAAAGAGCATCATTAGAAGATCCGCCCCAGATGTGGCAACAGTATTCCATACAGGGACGGATTTGAGATTTATAGAGATAGAGAATAGAATCTGGAGTAAGAAAGTGTCGAGCTCGATAAAGAGATGCAACCTTAGCAGATGCTAATTTTGCAATGGATTTGATATACGGTTTAAAAGAAAGATCAGAAGTAAGAGTTAATCCTAGAAGATGAATGGTAGATGACTCATCTAGTACATTACCATTCATAAATATAGGAAGATCTAAATTATTACGATAACGATTGGCCGAATAAAATTGAGTTTTATCTGAATTAAAGTTCACCAGCCACTGTGAGCCCCATGCTGTAGCAGAAGTGAGATCCTTTTCAAGCTCAGATACCCCCTCCAAGCAATCAGAGAGTGTAGGCTTCTTATCATGACAAGAGTAAATGGTAGTGTCGTCAGCGAATAATGCCACCTTAGATGTGAGAATATCTGGAAGATCGTTAATGTAAATTAAAAAGAGTATAGGGCCAAGGATTGAACCTTGAGGAACCCCTGAAGTTACAGGATGTGAAGAATCGTATACTACGATTGGAAAGAAAGGACTCAATAATCTTAAAGACGTTACCAGCTACACCATAAGAAGAAAGCTTATGGAGAAGACCAGCATGCCAAACTTTATCAAAAGCTTTAGAAATGTCGAGTGCGATAGCCTTAACCTCTCCACCTCTATCTAATGCACGGTAAAACCTATTGGTTATTACTGTTAGCACATCAGCTGTAGAACGAGAAGACCGAAATCCATATTGATGATCAGAAAGTAAGTTATTTGATTCAAGATGAGACATTAAGTGTTTGTTGATTAAAGATTCAAAAACCTTGCTTATGACAGGAAGAAGACTAATGGGACGGTAGTTAGATGAATCATATCGCTCTCCGGAATTTTTGAAAATAGGGATAACAGATGCTGCTTTCCAGCATGATGGAAAACAAGACTCTGATAAGCACTTGTTAAATAGTTTAGAAAGTATGGATGAAAGCTCCGGAGAACACCTCTGCAAGACTACAACAGGAATGTTGTCAGGACCACAAGCTGTTGAAGAGTCTAAGCAGGAAATTACTTTAGATACAGAAGCTGAAGTGATGCGAATGTCAAGCAAGGGATCAACCTGTTTGACGGCTATGTCAGGTAAAACGCAACTAGTGGAATCAAGAGATGTGTTGATGAAAAGTTCTTAGCAAACAATTCAGCTTTGTCTTTAGGTGAGGTGACAAAGTCTGAACCATACAAGAGAGAAGGAATAACAGATTTGCCCTTATTATTGATACTGTTAAAGATTCTCCAGAAGTCTCGAGAGCCTAATTTTTGTGATGAGATACGAGATTTAATGACCTGGGAATAGCGAGCTTTGGCGTCAGACAAAACCTTTTTACAATGGTTTCTGGCGAAAGTGAACAGATGTCTGTTTTCTGGAGAATTGTTTTGCTGATAGATATGGAAGTAACGGTTTCGATTAGAAATTGCTGCAGCGCAATGTGAGGAAAACCAAGGAGAAGAGTGAGGCTTGACCTGGAATCGTCGAGAGGGAATAAAAGATTTCATGCCAGCCTGAATCCACGAAGTTATGTAAGAAGCACATTTGTCAGCAGGAAGACGAAAGATTTCTACCCAAGGGCCATCACGAAGAAAATCACGGAAAGAGTCCCAGTCAGCTTTAAGGTAGTTGTTTGTGGTACGATGATAGGGGGATTCTGATGAAGTAGAAGAATTTGATAATAGTTTTAGAGAGATCAAACCGTGATCAGAAGTACCTAAGGGTGAATGTGGAGAAATTGAGCACTGACTAGGATCCAAAACAAGACATAAGTCGAGTAGAGAAGGTAAATGATTAGGGTTGTCTGGAAAACGAGTTGGAAAGTTGACTATTTGAGTTAGAGATTGAGAAAGGCAAAAGTTGAGGGCCTTAACGCCAGCAGAGTCACTGACACTAGAGACAAGCCAATCGGTGTGATGGGCATTAAAGTCACTAACAACGACGATATTGGCCGATGGATAAAGAGAGAGGGCTTGGTCAATTTGATCAGAAATAACATCAAGAATAGTGCAATCTTGGGATGAAGGAGAGCGATATAGAACAAAGAGAAAGGCGATTGAGTGAAGTTGTGCTAAACGAAAGCACATAAATGAATAGTCTGTAGATTCAAACCTAGTTTCACGACAAATGGGTGAGTTCTTACGAATGTAGATGCCCAGGCCAAGCATGTGATTATTGGAGTCTTTACGAATTAAAGGAAGATAACCATCAACACTAAGATCACAAGATGGGACAGCCGAACTCAAATTAGTCTCACAAAGAGCAAGTAGGTCTGGTGAACTTTGCAAGAGATAAGACTCAACAGAAGAAAAGTTACTTCGAAGACCACGAATATTAGTAAATGATAGGTTTAGAGAACTTGGTGATGATGATGGTTTTTTGTGTTTTTTAGTTTTAGGTACTTTAGTCATTTTAAATTTATAAAGAACTTGACTCAAGTATAGATAGTACTCAGTACACTATTTAACAACTAAGCAATAGCCTCATTGCTATTAATAAACCCTAAGCCGTAACAAAGGGCTCCAAATGTGGCCTCTGCAATGCACACCAAAAGTACAAACAGGGACACCATCCATGCGCAACATGGCACTGTTAGTACTCTGATATTTTTTGGCTGTTGATGGAATCAGCCTCTCTGAGAGCTACCACAGAGTTCGGGAAACCTGACTACCAGCCGGCCTCAGAACCATAAAACTGAGTTTTAGAGCTGTACCCTCATTAGGAGATAATAGAATGAGTTGCCCAGTCATAAAAATAGAGACACAAGCAATACCCACGCATTGAGTCAAGAAGATCCAGCGTTCAACATCCTAAACTGTAAACAATGTATTAAAAATACATCTGCGCCAGCCTAATAGATGAGGCAGCCTAATAGATGAAGTTTATTTTTACAAAATGTATGTAAAATGTTTAAGTTTATATTATACTGTTACAGAAATCCACTAATTTATTACAAGTTATGATTACCAAGAGAAGTTGCAGTTGGTTATCCTATGCAAATTATGCACTATATTTTGGTCCCCCAAATGTCACCTAAATCTTGCAACATTGTTATGGGTCAAGTTAAATGACTCTTTTTCAACAATTTACTAAAAATCCACATAGTTTTCAGTGATTCAGTGATGTATTAAAAATAGTACACTGGAAACCATGAAATCATGATTAGTAAGTGACCGGGGACCTGGCTCCAGGTAAATTTAGGACTTTTTACAAACCTGACCCTGGCAAAATTATCTGGTTTAACAGGGATTGATAGCCATGGCTAGGAAAAAACTTATAATACATTGTTTATTATAAATTTTTGCATATATTTACTATTTATTAAATACTGTCATATAATATGGATATATATGGATGTAAACATATATGTTTGCCATTTATTTATATGTTTGCATACAATATTCTTACATATTTAGGCAAACTTAAGTAGACGAGAGTTTTCCAAAATTCCTAAAATACCTAAAAAATGTTTTATAACAGAAGATAGTTTGGTAGTGGTGTAGTGGTTGAGCGCTCGCTTCATAAGCGAGAGGTTCTGAGTTCTATCTCCACCACGTCCCTGGTAGTACCGCGCTCAACTCATTTCTCCGCGCAGCAGTCTTGTTCGTCAAGGTTCGTGTTTCAGAGTCATAGAGTTGAGAGTGGGTTATAACCACAAATAAGTAGCCTCCTTGACTGTAGTGGCCTTCTCGACCTTGAGGAGGTGAATTAAAAAAAAAAAAAAAAAAAGTTCAACTATGGAAACATTTATGATTTAATTAATACAAACATACAACCCTACTATACTTTAAAGCATAATTTGACTTAATTGGTTGCACTGTTATTGAAAATAAATTTGGTTTTGTCAAGGAGTTATTTTGTTCAAATCAAGACAATTGGTTTTCTAAACTGGAGTACCTTGATTCCTTTATCAAAACATTTTACTTCTTTTTTTTAAAAAAAAAACAGTAAAATTAACAAAAGTTAATTAAAAATTATTTTTATCTTAACCGTGACAATTTAAACAATTTAAACTTATAATTATAAGATTTAAGTTGCCCTGGCAAAATTAAGTTACCCTGGTAAAATAAAAGTTGTCCTACAAAATTAAGTTGCCCTGGCAAAATGAAATCATGCAAAAGCTTTAACTAATGGTTAAAGCTTTTGCACGATTTGGTTAAATGGCATTTTTTAAATTTATTAGTTAAAAATCACTAAATAAAGTATTATTTTAGAGGTTTATGATTGTAACAATTTGTTTTTGAATGTGAACTATTTCTTCAACCCTTTGATTTTATAACTGTTCAAAGAATTGTTCCAATCACATGAACTTTAGACTATTTTCTTATATCACTGCAATATTATAGTTGCAGCATTTTTATTCCACCACATTAAACATGAAAAACTGTGTAACCCAAAGAAGTATTGTTTACCTGGTGCAATCGATATAGCCTAACAACCAAGTTAGATAACTTATTCAAAAAATGACAAAAAGCTTTAAATTCATGGTGCACATGTATTTTTTTAAGAATAACTTTAAAAAACTCTCAAAACATAGAGAGAAAAAATTTTTTACTAGAAAAATGCAAGATTTAGTCACGATTTAAGGCATTGTTCCATTTTATTCCATTTTTGTTCCATATTTCCATATGTTATTTATAAGGTGTAGTAAATGCTGAGAGAGAAGATGGATGTGTAGTGTGACTTAAACTCTTTAACTATGGGACACTAGGATCCCACACTTTCAATATGGTGTTTTTATTAGGTTTCAGTTAAATTTCCATTTTTGATTGATATCAAAATTTATGTGGTTGATTACCTCTATAGTATACCTAAGATACTAATAATTATGATTCTGGCAGAAAAACTTTGCGCATGATATAGGTGAATTTCTTAAAATTTGCAAATAGTAGTAATTTGTTTTCAGCACGTATAACAATAATTTAAGCCACATAAAAAAAAAATTGATTAGATTGTAATAACTTATACTTATATTATGTATTGATCATAACAATTCATGCCAACTGTGTGTTTACAACACTTTGTGACTGAAAACATTTCTTTGGACACTGGTGTCTCTCTTGTTGATAAGTGTCAAAATATGATCATTGCTTATTTTACTAAAAAAATGAACAATGATTTGCTGCCCTCTAGCGGGTCTGTGTATTTTTGTATATGTATGTATATTTGTGTATATGGATGTATATATATGCAAAGGCTGTGTGTTTGTGTGTATGTGTGTGTGTATATATATATAAATATATAAATATATATATATATATATATATATATATATTTATATATGTATATATATGTATATATATATATGTATATATATATATATATATATATATATATATATATATATATATATATATATATATATATATATATATATATATATATATAAATCATTTTTTGAACTCCTATAGTTCCATGTAAAGTTGTTACTAAATAGACATAACCTGTGAGTATTTGATTAATATTAAACATGCAATTTTAATATTCTTGTAATCAATAAGTTAGTGTAGTGTCATAGATATCACTAAATATGTATATAATAAATTAGTGTAGTGTTTGATATATAATTAGATATGTGAAAGCAAAGCTACAGGTTTAAATTGTCAAGTTTAATGATTTTATTCTTTTAATATTTTATGTTTTGTTTCAATATAAATATTTTATGAGTATTAACTATTTTTGTTTAATAATAGTTATTTTAATTTTTATTTAATAATTTAATAATTATATTATTATTAATTTTCATCAATGGTATAACCATAGACTGTAGCTACTGTAGTTAACTATGGCTATATTATTGACTGATATTGACATAGGCGCAACTGTTCTTTTATTGTTAAAAAGTTTATACAACTTTTAGATTATTATAATACTAATAATTTTTTTAATTGTTCCATAAAAACTATTTATTATAAAAAAACATTTATAATTCAATTAAGTTTTGTAAAAAGGTTTTGTTAAAAATATTTTTGATTTAATTGTGTGTGTTTTTGTAATTGTAATTGTAATTGTTCTTTTTTATCATAACCTCTGTCTATAGATATTTTTTTTGGAAAAAATATTTTAATAAATTATAGTTAAATTTAATATGCTTGTAAAAAACTGTGTGTTTGTATATATACTTGGGCAAATGGATATTATGACAACGTTAGTTACATTGATTTTTGTAATCATATTAAAATTGATTAAAATAAAATTCTAAGATAAACCTGAAGTTCTACTATGGATTTTATTTTTATATATTCATTTAGATCAGCCGCATATGTCACGTTTTACTCTCACCAATGATAGACTTGTTCACAATCCTATTGAAAATCGTGGTCGACCACGTAAGTTTTGTTCTGAAGTAGGTAAACAACCTTCTTTAGTTGATCCTGTTGAACAAGGAAAAGGGATGTTTGGATTTTCAGAAGCAACTTCTTTGCGCAAACAGAGTAGTGCGATGCGAACAAGTGTCATCCAAGGAGCAAATTTGAGTATGGAAGAGTCTATCAAACTATCAGAGAGAAGTAATGATGGCCGTCATGCTATGCCCCGGTAATGGAGTAGTTATTTTAATTTTCAAGATTTGGGTAGGGAGGAACAAATGTTTAACAAAACTACTGTTGACAGTAAGCGTGTCTATACTTAATAAACTTATGAATTTAAATACTTTAATGGCGCAAGTAGCATTTAAACATTTAAATAAAGTTGTATTAAAATAAAGAGAAAAAATCAAAAAATGTTTAAATTTAGACTTCAAAATGTTGATTCGAAACTTGATTTGAATTGCGAATGAAGACCTGCTTTGATTCAAGATTCGATTCGAAACAAAACTAAGATATGTGTATATATATATTATATATATATATATATATATATATATATATATATACAGTAGCTTTCATAAATTTAGACGCATTCATTTTTTTTTCATATATGTAAGAAAATACTCAAAATAAAAATAAAATAAAAGTACTACCGCTATGTTTGATATATAATTTACAAGAGGAAGTGAAACTCTAATAAAGAGTACCTTAATTTTTTTTACAGGATGTTTATTACTCATTCTATACCGATTAACACAAAAAAGTTAATTGATAAGCTTGATTTTATTTTGTTCATAAATTTAGATGCACAATCAAAAAAGTCTTATATCTTGTTAATTGATAGTTAATTAGTAGTTTTTTCCCCGTATTTCTCATTAATAGGCCTAAAGCAATTGATTCTGTCAAAGAAACCTTATATAAATATGACTTACCTGGAATTAGTTAATCATTATTTAATAAATAAACAAAAGTTAAGTTAGTTTCGCACTAAAAAGACGTGAAAAATGGGCAAAAGACGTATCACTCAAGGTGAAAGATGGCAAATTAATGCGCAGATCAAAGAAGGAACCAAAAGTAATAAAAAAAATCGCCAAGTTAATTGGAGTTTCTGAGAAATGCGTTCGGACAACGAAACAAAACTTTCTTCACACTGGTGGTGCCAGCGAAAAAACGAGGAAAGGTAGACCCTTGTCAACCACGAGAAAGGACGATAGTGTTCATTTTAGAGCTGTCAGAGCTAATCCAAGAATTAGTTACAGAGATTCAACCACAGAATTCAATACAACGCGAAATACATCTATTTCTCAAAGCACAGTCTGCCGAATACTTATCAAAAACAAGATTGGAGTCTACACTGCTTTGAAGAAACCGCTTCTGCGTCCATATGATAAACAAAGGAGACTAAAATGGTGTCGTGAAAGAAGGTATTGGACAATAGAACAATAGAAAAACATTATGTGGAGTGATGAGAGTAACTTTGAGCTTATCAATCGCAAATCTAACATAACAGTCAAAAGAATGGCTCATGAAAAGTATTATGCCAGGTACATTAGACCAACTGTACAAAGTGGAGGAGGCTCAATAGGAATCTGGTCATGCTTCAATTACAAAGGTGTTGGTATGTGCCAAACATACACCGGAAGAATCAACTCTAGAATATACGTAGAAGTACTGGAAAACAACTTAATTCCATCAATTGACCTGCTTATGCTCAATGATAAACCATGGAAACTTCAACAAGATGGCGCTACTGCACATACTGCATACTATGCAAAGGAGTGGTTCAACGATAATAGTATCATGACAATACCGTGGCCTCCATACTCACCTGATTTAAACCCGATTGAAAACATTTGGGCTTGGATTGACCGTGAATTAGCAAAGGTTCAAATTTCCACACTTACTTAGCTGAAGGAATTACTTAAGGAGAACTGGTATGGGGTCCCAGAAGCGATGTGCAAAAATTTTGTTGAGTCTATGCCTAGAAGAGTTCTTAGTTGTATTAAAGCAAAAGGCGGATACACAAAATATTGATTGGTTCATAAATTACGCCTTCTAATGTATCGTGCGTCTAAATTTATGAATAATTTTTTTTGTCTAATTTTTTTAATACCATGTAGTTGTACCTAATTATTACTTAGTATTTCATTTTTTTTGTAAACTTTTTTTAAATTTTGTATTCTGTATGTATTTATCTAATAAATAGAAAAAAAACTAAACTAAAATCTTTTTTCGTCATTGTTTTATCGTTGAAAAACTAAAAATTATTATTCTCATATATATATATATATATATATATATATATATATATATATTTAAAATATTTTCAGAAGATCAGCAAATCTTTGTTTATTTTTAATGCCATTAATTATTTTTAATAATATTTATGGCAAATGACAAGAAGCATTTTTACCATCGATATATTAAAATTAATTTAAATATAAATGTTATATAATTAAATTAATTTAATTATATATTAAAATTTAATGTTCGATAATGCAGTTTTATTTAATTTTTTTCAACATCCTAATTATTACCCAGCTAAACTAAAGATTTACTTTTATGTTTTACTTTTTTAGCCTAAAACAGAAAGTGTCCATGTATATCACTCAACTGCTGCCTAATAACCTTTCATTACGCATTTATTTACCATCCTAACTTCCTACTTTTCATATATTAGATGTTTTATCGTGCGATACATAGTTTTAGAGATTTTCCTAACTTGCCTTTATGCCCAACTAGTTTCGACCCTACGCAATTGAAATTACAATTAAATTACTTAAAAATATATAGCTATTGTTTGAAAACAATATTTTTCTACAATTGTCTTTTAAATCTCAAAAAATGTTTATATTGAATTTATTTATTTATTTATTTTTTTTGTAAAAGGCGTTTGTATTATATTATTGTTTTAATATCTTTTCAAAGTATTTTAAAGTTTTTTTTTTGTTTTGTTTTAGTCCTCAATCTCGATCTACTCAACTTTACGATCGATTTCCATTACATTCACTTGATGGAAAAACTACTGATATGCGAGTTGACCGTTACAAGGTAGCTTGTATGTTTTTAATTTTTTTGTTTTTTTATTTTAGCTTTAATAATAATATTGTCGTTGTTTATTAGGATCTCTCTCCTCCTCCGCGTATGTTTCTACCCGCAAATGGTTCTAAAAATATTATAACTCCTCCGCATTCCAGAGCTCCTTCTCACTCCCCACGTGACTCAATAGGACACTCATCTAATTTCAATGCTGACATTCTTTCTAAAACGCAATATGAACATGCAACTAGAGAAAGATTTGAAAAAATGTCAAGCCCGAATTTTTATGAACGTCAAAGAAGCAAGCAAACTTTAGTTCGAAACATTTCAGAACATTCACGCATTGCTAATGATCAGAGACTAGGTGATGTCCTTCGTAATAATACTTTTATGAACACATCTCCGCATGATACTATACAAGCTATGCAGTCGTACTCGCGAAATCACGATATGGATAAAGATCAACAGCGTATTACTGATTATAGATATCGTTATCAGACCTCGCCTGGTATTAGAATTGATGGTATTTCAAGTCGCAATGAAAATAGGACTGTTTTTGATCATAGGGTGCCAAAAATGGAGGATGGGGAACAAGCCCGGCTTCGTGAACGGTTTTTGCATCAAAACACTATGCAGACTGGGCTAAATTCGATTTCCCCTAGTGCAGCGCACTCAACCGTCCCGACCAATCGATCTTCGACAAATTTAGTGCTTACAAGAGTAGATGGTGCATTTTTAGGGCCGTTGTCTTATGAAAATAGAACTGAACATAAGAGATAATTTTCTACATTATAACATTCGACTTTGATAGCCAATCACTTTTTGCCAAGCCATAAAACGCGAGGTGCAAGTCTTTATATTTTTTAGAGATTTTTCTGATTTTTTTTAGTTTTAAAACAATTTTGTTTTATCGTGTAACATTACTTCCAATAAAATATATAACCTAAACAGCGGTAATAATAAAAATGTATACCTTCGATACATTTTTATCCTAAATCGTTTTCACTTTTTCATGAACTAGGATCAACGATTTAATTTCAATGTTAAAATTTATCACTACGTAGACACCTTTAAAGCATCATCAGCAGATTATAAAAGTGACCATTTTTCTATAATTATTGTTCCAAAGTATTACCGCAAAAAAATAAAATCATTGTCAAACGCTTTTAAGATTAATTTAATTTATTATCATTTAAGGACGAATTAAAAATATCCTAAATAAAAAATATCTTATAAATTCTAATCTATTAAAATAAATCTTTAATTATTTTGAAAAATATAGACCTTATTTGATGCCAAATTGAACTGACGCATTCTACAAAATTAGTAAACAAAGCAGGAAAAAATATTTCGTTTGTTAGAGAAGTTTAGAGGCGATTCGAGCTCACGTGTTTTAAGTGTTGTTACAAATAATCATAAATTAAAATCATGCTCTTTGCCTATCGCTATTAAAATTAATAGTGAACTTATAAATGCTCTAAAAAAATTGTGAATTTAAAAAGTTTTTTGCATCTGTTGGACCTAATCTGAAAAGATTTAAAATATGATGGATCCAATAAATAACTGTTTCCAATGGGTAAGCTGAGCGATATCTACCACTTCGTACTTATCATTAGAAATAAAATATATTTTTGTATGGCGCGATATAAACAAACAAATTATGATAATAAATAGGATATTTAAAGATAGATATTAAAAAGAGTTTTCTCAAAATTAGAAAATGTGACGCTAGGTTTTCTCTTTTGCTTCAACAATTAAATACTACTTGAAAAAGTAGTACTTTTTATCGTAAAATCGTCAACAAGTGTCTCGTTCACTTTAACTTCTCTTAACTTTTCTTATCTTATACACAACACAAACTAGCATGGCTAACTGTTCACGGGCTTACAAAATGCGCACGGTTCGGCCTAATTTAACTACAACTAAACCCTTTTTTTTTGTGTGTCAAAAATAGTTTATAAATTAATTTTAATAATAAAAATTAAAATTTTGTGCATTTTTATTCCAAATACTAAAGTTTCAATTTTAAGTACAAAACCTAAGCAGATTTAACATTGTCAATAATTAAAATGTTTTCTACTTATTTCTACTTATAAACAAACAAAAACGGATTGTCCGGCGCCCTTTCAAGCTTGGGTAAATTTGCCCCCCTCTCTCTCTCTCTCGAAGGCCCTGCACAGAAATACACGTATATATACTAAGTACATATACATACATAGATAAACACATACACATTAACGCATACACATATATACGCATACACATATATGTATATATACACACAACACACACACACACACATATATATATATATATATATATATGTGTGTGCGTGTATTAACCCACACTATATTAGCATATGTGAGATGACTGTGTTCACAGTCATCTCACATATGCTAATATAGTGTGGGTTAATACACGCAAAACAAAATTAATCAAACTACATGGCTTGCAAAACCATGCTTGTAAAGCAATACATGTAAAGCTAGTAGAGTGGACAATCCTTCCAATGCGATGACAAATATGAAAGTCTTAAACTTGGAAAAACTTAATTTTTATCAGATTCTTATTTTTATGTTCAAATATAAAAATAATATGCTACCAAATTCTTTTTTAGACATATTATCGTCATCATTTTCTCAAAGTTATGATCTGCGATCATAACTTTGAATAGTTCACAGGGTCCCAAAATATGGAAAAACTTGAAAAATCAAAAATTAAATGACTTAAATGGAATATCGTCATTTAAATGGCAAACAAAGCTGTATATTCTTAGTTTGTAAAAATGATTGTAATAAATTTAAAAAAAATTATAAAAAGTAAAAAAAAAAAAAAAAAAAAAAGATATATATATGTGTGTGTATATATATATATATATATATATATATATATATATATATATATATATATATATATATATATATATATATATATATATATATATATATATATATATATATATATATAAAAGGTAAGAGGTAGGTGTTTGTGCTGGTGATTCCAAACAAACTGGCAATTCAAGAATTGAATAAAGTCACATAATTTAAGGATCTTAGAAGTATCGAGTGGACACTGAAAAATCCGGTCAACTTTAAATTGAGATTTTTCTAAAACCATAAATGCTCTCTGTTTCAAATTTTATTTTTTTATTAAATGTGTCTACATCAATAAAGGTTTCAACTTAACTTTATACCGCTTCATGGGCTGTTTGGCAAGAGACCAAAATTTATAGCGGGTTGATGCCATCATCTCGCAGACCTTTTCTTTTTCACCTTATTGGTGGCATTAATCCACTTTTTTTGAGAGCCTTTTTTATTTTTTGTTACTCCATCTGTTTTACGAAAAACTCTTATACTATTGCTCAAAAATCTTCAATCTTGCGCTCTTCAGGACAATTTGGAGAATTCGCATCTTTAGGATCAATTTTCACATTATTACCTTTGTACCACTCTAAAACTTTTTCAGAATAGTGAGAAGCACCAAGACCTGGCCAAAAGAGATATCGGTATTAGAGTTTTTTTAATTCATAAATGCAAAGTCTTTTTAAAAAGCATTCTTTGATGTAGAGGTTACCAGTCAAGGTCTTCATAGTGACAAAACAAAAGGGCTGTGTACCACAACTACAAATTGCTTGCCACACACAAAACTTGGATGCAAATTTTTCTAGTCGAATATATTTAAATTGATCATCAACAGGTTTATCTTTGTTTTTATAGTAAAATTGTTGACCATGAAGTTAGGAAATTTGCCTTCTAATATGTTTTTTCGTCTTCAATTATGCATATACTTTTATCCGCCATTATTTTCACTAACTTCTTGGCGCGTCGAATTCCTTTAATTTCACCATTTAAACATCTTTTAGGTATATTTTTTTTATAAAATTTTTTAATTCGAGCATTATTAAATACTTTTTTGATATAAGAATGCAAAGTCTTGAATTTTTTCGCTAGATCTCGCTATGACTGGTTCGGATTTCTTGCGATTGAATTGAGTTTGATTGATTGAATCGACTTTACCTTTTTAGATTTATGGAAAGTTTTCTTTCTTCCACTTCCAGGTTTTCCTTCAAAGCTCTGAGTAGTCTTGAACTTGTCGATGGATTTTTGCAAAACAACAACTTTTTTACGCATCTCAATTTGTTTCCAAAAAATATTTAGAAAATCATATCGTAAATCTTTTATTGACATGCATTATTTTACATTTTTCTATATTTAGTTGCATATTCCAGTCATTGCACCAGTAAAAATAGAATTTATGTTATCCTGGAGATCATTACAACTGTTATGATGGATTATGTGGAAAACTTTGCAATCATCAGCATAGAGCTTGCATTTATTTTTTAGTTTATCCGGAAGATCATTAATTTTAATTAAAAACAAAATTGGTCCCACAACAGAGCCTTGCAGTACACCACTTAAAATACTAAGCCACATAGAAGCAATGTCTTCAAGAACAACTTTTTGCATTCTATTTGATAAAAAAGACTCAATCCATTTAAGAATGAATTCTTTCATACAGTACATTTCAATTTTTAATATAAGTTTTCTATGGTGAACTCTGTCAAATGCTTTAGAAAAGTCAATAAAGAGGGTATCAATGGGAGAATCTTGATCTACTGCTAGAATTTCAATATCTTGGCTTTCAAGTAAATTTTTAAAGCAAGTGTCCACCCGACTAAGATAAAGTACATTAGGATTGAATTTGTAATTGTGAAAATGTATTATTCTTAAAGCTTTGTTTTGAAGATAAGATATCCTTAAAACTGCTTGCAGTTGAGATGTACCCATATTTGACAAGCATGTCGTATATGTGAGCAAAAATTACATGATATCTATTTAAAAGTTTCTAGTTTGACATAATGACGAACTTCTAGCATTCTATTTGATTTGCTGAATTTTATGGCTAAGTCTTTAAGATGGGATACAAACGATAGGTTGGAATCAATTGTAATTTCAAGATATTTTCCAAGATAGTTTACAGGAACGATTTTCTGGCAACTTAATGTAAAATTTAAACTTTTATTGAATTTGTTTTATCAGATTTGAATATGACCAGTTCAGTTTTGCTACAGTTGAGAGAAAGCTTATTTAAGCGAAGCCACTTGGCAAGATCATGATTAATGTATTTGTTAATTTTTTTAAAAGATTTGTTGATAATGAGCAAGTTAGTAACATTAGCAAAGTGGTAAGGAGTTGCAAAATTAATTGAGTTATTAAGGTCATTAATGTAAAGAAGAAAAAGTAGTGGTCCTAATACATTCTACATCTTTACATTTTGTGCATTTTTATATAGTTTGTTTTTAATGGAAACAGATCTAAATATGCCATTAGTAATTAATGGTTTTGGGTTAATTTTAATTTGCTGCTTAGTTAGTTTTTTGTATAGAGCATGCTGGTCTAATATGTTTTCAAATGTCTTTAAAAGAAAACTGATCGATTGATTTACATCATCATCTTTTTAATATAAAGATCCGAGTTAATGTTTTTCAACATCTTCAATAAACATATTTTTGTTAAAGTTCTTGTAAGATATACTTTTTTAGGGTGGTTAGTTTTTCTAGGAATGCAGATAAGTTGAGCCATATGATCAGATATTGAAATAGTAAGATTGCCAGAGATTTGGTCAGGTGAATTGAATTAATAAAAGCTTTTATTCACCCTTTTCAGCACTAGGGGCCATAAAGTACGTACGCAGGTATCCCAAAAGCGTACGAACGCGTACAAGGGGAAAAGGGGTGTTAAAGACAGTGAGTATGTATGCGGTTTGACTATCCTAAACATGATTTTTTTTAAAAAAAAAAAACATTGAATTTCACGTGTGTAACAAATCAGAATTTTTTGTAATTCTTTATAAATAACGAGAGAAAAAAAAATCGAGTTAATTTTGAAAAAAATAAA